TAATGAGATAGATGTATTAACTGTTTGCAATATTTTAAACCTATGATTAGTCTATCAAAATGGTAGGCCATTTTGATAGATAATTCAAAGAGCATCTGCTTATCTGCATTTCGTCCAGAGGAACCAGATTAGTAACAGCCACAATGTGAGTTACAAATAAGTAACCAGCAATGTTAATTTTGTAACATTCTCACTTTTGTTCTTCCTTCAGAATACATTTTAGAACGAGAGAGGACGATAGTTAAAGTTGGAATGTACATTGATATCTCCTTGGTTTTCATATTTATGCTTGGCTAAAAACGAAAGAAACTAGTAGTAATGAGAATCATAAAATCCCTGTAAGAGGCTTAAAGGAATAAAGAAGATCTAAAGTAAGGAACTAGGGACTAAGAAAGCTTTTCCAACACACACACACACACACACACACACACACACACACACATTGGGTCTTTTTTTCCTCAGCTTTATTTACTGTCTATCAAATCTTTGAGAGCCATTTTACAAATTGTATTTTTTTCTAAAGTCTGATAATGCTGTAAAAAATTAAAAAAATAGAACATTATCCCCAAATAACCATGGCCACACTCATCCCCTACTTAGAGTATCCAATTCAAGCACAGTAGGAGTACATTCTAATGCATAATTGATAGTAGATAGAAGTAATAGTCTCTTGAACACTTCGCAAATGCCAAGTATTAATTTTAAAAAATGAAACAAAGAGAAAACATAACACTACCCATGAACGTTAAAAAGATATTCATGCATAAAGCACTAGACACTTCACAAGTCTACATGCACCATCAAAGGTAGATACCAATCACATTAGGGTGAGTACTCATGAGGGAGACAAATTTAAAGGTTCCAGAAAAGTAGAAATAAAGCTAGAATCAGGTCTGTAAAAAATGCTGAAGGTAAACCTGGAGTTCAACTACTTTGGATATTTATATCTGAAGAAGTGTGGAAGGAAAGACGAGACGAAAGAGGCAGTAGGAAGAAAAATCAATACGGGAGCAAAAGTAGAAAAATCATGATAGTAAACAGAACTCTTTCCTGACCTCTTTATTTAGTGAGATTCTGGTTCTTGCGCTCATGGAATACTTCTGCAGCATGGACTAAATTCACAGTAACTTAGGGCACTGGGACCAGAGAAGCAAACAGCCCAGGCTTAGATGGGCAGACGTGAGAAGGAGCTGCCAGATCGTCCTTTTTTTTCTTTCTCTGAGCCTGAGTCTACTATGACTTATTCATGCCATCTACTGGCCCTTTCAAATATTTGTCTTTTCCAAAACTCACACTTGCTATTTGGCTTGTACAATTTTAAAATTATTTAGGAGTAAACAGAGTTTTCACTAATGATCTTTTTTTTTTCCTAAAAATATCTTCCCTGGAGCAACCTCTTGCCCTCAAAGTGAGATGTTCCAAGTTCCTCTTTGCTAGTGAAATCTGCCAAGTCCCTTTGTTAGAATTACAGGTTTGAGGAAAAAGAGAATATGGTTTCTGATAGAAGCAGGAAAACCACTTTGCAATTTGCTATAAACTGTAGCCTCATCTGAACAACTAATTTGAAGATAATATTGTATAATACATCAACCATTGTCAAATTGCTATTATTTTCTTTGGTGAAATTCTGTGCCACTTCTATTTTTTTTTTTACCATTTTGTATTCTGGTTAAAAAAAATAATAATAAAAATAAATAAACAGTAGCCTGACCTCAGTTTTCCAAAGCTCAAGACCTGCCTTGAGGTCTTTGAAGTGTCTTTCTGCCACCTAAGATGCATTTGGAAGACTTTCCATTTGAAATGAACACACTTTTATAATCTGTTATCAGCTTGGGGATAGATTTCCAAGCTTTTAAAAACTTTAATGTAAATTCCTAAAACATAGCAATTATACTTTATGTGCACTTACTATTTTATTGCCCTTTCTGAGGATTTTTTTTACTTCTTTGTTTATTAGAATATTCTCTGGTCTGACTCACCACCAGGCAAGAATATCAATATTTTTAATGTTATTTCATTCAGGGAAGAAGCACCGTACTTCATTACTAATGATCCCTCTGAATGCAGACAGGACTCCAATCAGGTCTTAGGCAGAAATCATTCTTTAACAAATAAAAAATTTCAATAACAACCAAAAAGTTTTCTTTCTATATCACCTTCTTGACAGAACACTGAGTCACAATGAATCATGTCTCATTCATGTCTAGAATCTACTGCCTGGAGGAGAAAAAGAAAGCCAGCTATTTCTGGAGAAAATGCTGAGAATAACCATAAAACAGACATGCTTTCTCCCTTCTTGATGACAAGACTATTAAGCATCTGAAGTTAATTCCAGAAGCAGATTGTCTCCAAATATTTGTGCAAAATCCCATCTGACCATAATACTATCATGACAGGGAGAGTTCTCGGTCTCGTGAGACTTCTGAAAGGCAAGGAGAAGTTGAAGCCCTTGAGTAGGGTCGGGAAGCGATAGCCGTGAGCCTAACCAGCCCCCAACCTGTCTTTGTACAGACTGTGAGAAACAAAAATCTTATTATATTTTAAGAGAAGAAAAAAATCAAAAGAAGGCTGTCATTTGATATTACATGAAACATATCTCAGCTCCAATAATGAAGTTTCCCCAGCACACAGTCATGACCACGGATTTACTCTTGGTTGTGGCTGCTTCCCTACCACAGCAGCAGGGTTGAGTAGCTGCTGTAAAGGCTACATGGTCCACGGAGCAAAACACGCTGCCCAACTGGACCATCCCAGAAGAAATAAATGCTGACTCCTGCTCTGAGATCAACATGATGAAAGAGAGATGCGGTGCTCCACTGTCAAGGCACAGGTAGCATCTAAGCCAGACACCCTAATGAGCGAATTTCCTGGAAATATATGAGAAACACTGCCCCTCATCCCAGAAAGTCCACGGATCTTACTTTCTTGCCTATTTAATCCTTTCCTCCTAGAAGCTGGTATCAAGACTCTTCAAATTCCTTCTTGCTGTTGTCAAGGTTCACCTTGAAAAAGAGACCAAGACATGTACTAGGTATGTCCCATGCACATATTTTTTTAAATTGCTAATTCACTTTATTATTTTTTATCTATTAATACATGTTTGCAATACATACATTTTACTATCATCTTGCAGAGTTGGTACATGTATATAATAGGCTTGTTTTCTTTTTTAATCCCCTCCTCCTCCCTCTCTTCTCCTGTAATTCCCCTTCCCCATTCCATTCTTGTGGATATTATGATCTTAGTTTAAGTTACAGCATATGCTATCCACATTCATTGAGGTTATTAGGGTGTTGTACCTCAAATGTCTTCACTCTACCTATCTCCCCATCCCCTCCCCCTCGCTCCTCACCCTTTCTGTCAGCGAAGATCTATCCTCTTGTCTCCTATTTTTCCTTTAGCTTGTACTTTGCCTTCTTCAAAGGAGAGATACCTTATGATATTCAAGCTTATGTGTTTGATTTATTTCTGTGAAGGATGATTCTAACACAGTTAGAAAGTTTTAAATATATCCGCAGAATCCAGATCCTTCAAGACAGAATTCTAATTTGTTTTACAATATAATATGAGGCCAAATGCCAAGCAGAAATCTAGGGTCATCTCTGGATCACTTTCTTTTCCTCAGGACCTCACCTGTGAATTTAGGACTTTCTCGCTCTCTTTGAATTTCTGTCTGTGTATCACTGACCACCTGAGATTAGAGCAAGATAAAAGCTTCTGTGTTATGAATTTTGGTCTTCAAGACTGTTAATCAGCAAGTTCCTTGGTGTGAGGGGGTGTGGGGGGTAAATGGTTCAGAGAAAGAAGAGGTCAATGTGGTGTATTTTTTTTCTTTTTTCTGGTTACCTTGATTCCTCTTCCATGCTTTGAGTAATTTTTTTTTATTTATTCTTTTAAAATTCTGCATCTATTTTTTATTGCTTCTTCCAAGTCAGGAAGTTTGTTCTGATGGAAGTTACTCCCTTCAAACCAAAACTGGAAATATTTTCCTTCTCTTTCTAAAATAGCCTTAAATCTTTTTTTTTCACTAAAATTGCCAAGTGATACCTCTCTCTGGTTCACTCTGACAAAAAGTGACCTCAGGTTGGAAATTCTGGGAGATATCATTACAAAATAAAGTTCTTTTTCACTGAATGACAAAAAAGTACACTTTCCAATAGTAAATAATACAATTGTGCACCTTGGAAGAATCAAACTATGAGTCACATAACAACTAAATTCTGTCCCACGTAGAAGGAGAAATGTTACTGATAGAATTGTGTATCTGTGAGGACCACTTGGGTCTGGATTGTCATTGGATGCCCTTGATTACCTTTCTGTCATGTTTCTAGCTAATGTCCTTCAAGACAAAGGACTATAACTCAATTATTTCTATTTTTCACTCTGCACTATTGCCTTCTGTTTCTTAGTAGCTATCTAATGTTATTAGAAGTAGTAACCTGAGTGTGAGATTAGATGATTTCTTAAAAGCAGGCCCTAGCACAAGGGGGCCATTAGCAGTGCCAATATTGATCAAAGAATATAGTAAAACTTCTAAAAACTGTGAAACAAATGTCTTCACCGAGGAGAGAAAGCTGACCATATTCCAACAGAGAAATAGACTCATACTTGCTGAAGGTGAAAAAAATAGAAAGTCACATGGTTAGACCTTCATTCCAAAATCAGGATAAGAGAATCAGCCTGTAAAGAATTGATAATGAAACACAAAGCTGCACGAGCTTTGGGTGGTTCATGGAGCAGAAAGAATCCTTAAAATCTTTCAGAATATAGTAAACAAGTTGGACTTATGGAACACGGTCAAGATTCAGAGTATCAACAGAAAATCAGCTTACACGCTGTCTAGTTACTATGGTTATTCATTTTACTGTGGCTTTTCCTTTCCAGTGTTCCCTCTTCATTTTCTTATTTTATTTCTTCCTTTCTAGAGTTTCCTTTATTTCTGTCATTTGAATTAATAAAATAATTTTGGTTCTTCCATCTGTGGTGGAACTAACACAAACATGCAGATTTTTATAAAAATCCTTCCCAGTAAGACCATCATGCTTGAGGTTGAACCCTTGGACACTATGGAAAATGTAAAGATTAAGATCAGGCATAAGGAAGGAATTCCTCCTGATCAGCACAGGCTGATCTTTGCTGGAAAGCAACTGCAAGATAGACGTACCTTCTCTGTTTACAACACTGAAAAGGAGTCTACCCTTCAGCTTGTGTTGAGACATGGTGGTGCTAAGAAAAGGAATAAGAAGTCTTGCACCACTCCCAAGAAGAATAAGCGTAAAAGAAAGAAGGTTGAGTTGGCTGTCCTAAAATACTATAAGTGGGTGAAATGATAAAATTAGTTGTTTTCATCAAGCATGCCCTTCAAATGAATGTGATGCTGGAGTTTTTATGGCCAGCCATTTGACAAACATTATTGTGGCAAGTGTTATCTGACTTACTGCTTCAAGACAGACAAGTAATTATATGAGTTAATAAAGTATTTCAGCTAAAAAAATAATAAAATAAAATAATTGCTTGTTAAGAATATACTATGTCCCATTCATTGGATGAATTAAATGTAAAAAGAGACAAGATAGGGTATTAAAAAGTGAAGGAAGTTGAAGAACTACTTAGAAGAACTTCTTAGAAGTAAAGAAGCAATTCATTGTAATTAGGACTATGAATAATAACCACGTGATAACATTTGAGGTCTTCTGTGTATGTATAATTAAAATAAATGACAACTGCAGACCACACTGGGGATGTGGATGAAAGAGGGATGTGGATAAAGCTGAAGTGTGGTAGGTTTCTTAGATCGTTCATCAAGTTGATGGAGAATTTGTTTATGGTACATGATCACAAGTCCACAGTGAATATAGCCTTTAAAACTACACTAAAGAAAGAACATAAAAATTTAATTAAACAAGTAACTATAGAGAAAAAAATAATTAAAATGAGCCAAAATCAAGCAAAAAAGAGAGAAATGGGTAACAAAGAACAGATGAAGGAAATGATTATTAAATAATAGCCCAAACAGCTGTAAAATAAGTACATTAAATGTAAGCAGATGAAATCTACTGATTAAAAGGAAAAGACTTTGTCAAGTGCAATATTTAAAAATACAATTATATTCTGTTTTCAAGGCGCATTCCTTAAAAATAATAATGTAGAAAAGCTGAACATAAAATACAGCAGAGATTAAACAAAACAAGGTGGTACAGTTGTACTAACATCAAGTAGATTCTAAGTCAAGAAACATCTTAGAAATAAAGATGAATATTTAGCAATAATGAAAGACAACATGAAATGGCAATCCCAAATTTACATGTTTCTAATAATAAAGTCTCAAATTATGTGAAGCAAAAACCAGTGAGCTATCTCATCAAAACAGAAAAAGCAACGTGCCCTTGGAGATTTTAATACATTTGCTGTAATGCTTTGTAGCACTGGGAAATCAATATGAAGTTCTAAGGAATCAATCACAACAGAAATTAAAATATACTTAAGGCTGAATAACAAGCATAACATATTAAAATTCTGGGATGAAGGTTAAATACATGAATGATGGAAGAATTTGACTTTAAGTGAATGTATCAAAAATAGAAATGCTGAAAAGATAACAATCTGATCGCCCCACAAGAAGCTAGAAAAATAGTTGTAAATTAAACTCCACAGAAAAAAATAGATAAATAATAAAGATAAGAGAACATGTCAGTTGGATAGAACAAAAATATATGAGAAAATCAACAACGTTGAATGCTAATGCTTTGATTTTTGCAGGAAAGTTAAGAACTTACACAAACGAATTATTGCTTTGTGAGAAATTCTTGAAAAACAAAACTGGAAGGAAAGAAATTAAATCACTAAATGGCTCTGACTAGAAGTTCAGAGAGAACTGACCTCAGAGAAGCCTTACAAAATGTCCTGGGGTGGCACCTAAGTGTCTCTCAAGGAAGGGCTCCTGTGTTAAATGTTTGTCCTCAGCAGGGAGCTGTTGGGAGAACCCTGTCACAGGTGGGGACTTGTGGGAAGTTCTACATCACGGGCAGCGTGACCTCAAAGGATTGTGGGACCTGGTCTTTTCTTCCACCTCTCTTGCCTTCTGTCCACAAGGCAGAGTGTTTGCTCTGCCACACACTTTCACTTTCTCTGTGCTGCACTTCCTGCTCACAGCCCAAAGTGTGGAGCTGATCAATAATAGACTGCAACTGGAAAGGTCAGTTAGGTTTCTTGTTATATAGGTCTTGCTTTATCTTGCTCTTAACCATCCAAAAGAAAAGTATAATCACGAGATATAAAAAGTAAAGCCATATTAATATGCTGCTCTGTAAAAGGCTCAAGTCAACAACTTCTGACATTGCCAGTTCTGTGGATAACCCACTGCTATTATGGACTACTGGACTATATTGGATTAGTTTGCTGAATTCACACATCTACAATATTTGAAGGGCAATAGAACCCATCTCTGACAAAACTAAACTAAAAAAGGGATATAAATGAAGGTCCATTTTGTAGTGAAAAAACAAAACAAAACAAATACATATATATATATATATATACACATATATATATACATATGCAAAATGGTTACCATAGATATACAGCTACTTTCTCTTAGTTCAATGAGAAGAAAGGTTTGATCATTTCTGCATCTTGTACTCTGAATGTTACATAAACAATAATATGCAATGTATTAATTATTGTAACTGTCCTACTAACCTGTTTTGAAACTGTCTCATTGCTATTTCTTTCTCAATAAAATTAATAAAAAATAAAAATAAATAGAATAAAAAATAATAGACTGCATCTGGGAGCCACATCAAGCTTTTCCTCTATAAGTTGCTGTGTCTTAACTCTTCGTTGTGGTGAAAGAAAGCTAATACAAATGGTGGAGGTGGTACAAGAGCAAATAAATGTCAAAATTCTTCAGACTGTAGTGTTAACATGATAAAATTTACTGCCTTCATGAAGCTCTTCAGAGCCAAGAATATGATTCAGTGTGAGGGTGCTTGCTCACCTGCTGTGCACAAGGGCCTGGATTCAATCACCAGCACCAAAGACAACAAAGGCTATTAAGAACTTAAAATATGGGAGAAGGAGCCCATCCACAAAGAAAATTTCATCCCCAGGTGAATTTTTCTAAGCATCTTAAGTACTTTTAGGCACAAAATGGGTAAATAAGAAACATTTCCAAATTTGTATTTTGAGGCCATTGCAAAATTAGGTTTAAAACTTGTCAAAGACAAAGCCATAAAAGAAATTTAAAGACAATGTTCCTCACAAACACTGGCCAAAAATTCTGAACAAATAGCTAACAAATCAGTGTGTGTGTGTGTGTGTGAGAGAGAGAGAGAGAGAGAGAGAGAGAGAGAGAGAGAGAGTACACTGTGTGCGATCAAGTTGAATTTGATCCAGGAATGCAAGTTTACTTTGCCACTTGAAAATGAATCTGCATAATCTAGCACGCACAAACTAAAGGAGAAAATCCTGTGACAGCCATAATACAAGCGAAAGTCTACATTGGTATTATTATTTTTCAAGGATATAAAAGGAAATAATAACAGTAGAAATGCTTAGTGTTAAAAGGGTAGACATAACCAGGAATGAAGAGAGACTCTGAATTATGAGATGGAACGATTTCCAAAAAAAAAAAAAAATCACAATTTCTGATGCAGTTTCACAGCTCTGATGAGGAAGTGTCAGATTGGAACCATGAATCACTCCTTTGAGCTTAGATGAAACTCCTCTTAATGATTCAGTTTTTAGCAAGAGTTCCCAGAGACAGAGCCTTTTTTTAAAGTATTTTTAAAATTTTTAATTTGATACAGGGTCTCGCTATACAGCTCAGTCTCATAGCGATCCTCCTGTTTCAGCCTCCCCAGCAGTGGGATTACAGGCATGCGCCACCACAGCGGGGTTCAGTGGCTGGCCCAGCAATCCCGGGATTCCAGGCCTGGTATGGTATGCAGTACCAGAGATCAAACCCTGGGACTTGTGCTTGCCAGGCAAATGCTTAGCCTGTTGAGCTATCTCTCAAAACCAACAGAGCCTCTTTTTGCAATGACTTGTACATCCAAGATTCTACCTGATTCTCCACATGTTTAGGGGTCTAAATAATTTTTGGCAGGCACCTGGGAAGAATGAAATAAATAACATACTTTTTAGATATCTTAATTTAGTTTTACTGTGCATTAATAACTTTCCATGCTTTGATGATAGTGAGGGATTTGATTACCCTTCGGTACCATATAAATTAATTAATGATAACTGAGAAGAGTGTTTGGATTGCAATAAGGCCTTGCAAGACTTTGTTTTATAATCCTGTATGTTATTCTAAGCTTCTGCAATGTATTCATAACTGTCACTAAAGAAAAGCAATGATAAATATTTGATAGGAAAAATAATATAGTTAATATATTTTAGGTTTATGACTTATACTGGCTCTTACTGCAGCTGATTCATTTTGTATCAAAAAGGAGAAAACATGAAATTAGCAACTAAGCAGAGCCCCCTAGCCATCAACCTGATCCACAATCAGTGCTGAAGCTTCAGGCGTACACTAAGATGACTCTTAGTGCAGTCATGTTCCCAGGCCATCCATCTCGCCCTGTCCTACTAACTACCCTCCTTCCTGTGCACCTGCTCTGCTACTCTCCCTTTCCCCCCACCTCCCCAGTCTCCATGCCAGCTGTGACCTCAGTGCAGTTGGATCATATAAATTTAAACTGGCTGAAGAAATGAAACGGTACATGCATTCTTGTCTTTTGAGCCCACACATGACAAGCTCGGGTCAATTACAGATATTGAGAGCTTTTAGTAGTTTTAAATGACGTATGAAGTAGAATAAATGTGACTGAATTTTATATCCTACTATAATTCTACTTGGTTACAAATTGTGATCAAACTTGTAAACAGAAAACCCGAAGTTGAGATAACAGTCACAGGAAAACAGCTTGTAACTTACAGTCTGCCAATGTCCCTTTTTAAGTATTTCTTCCACCACCAGCTCATCAAAGATATTTTCAAAATCAAGTTAAAACATGTAGAACTTAGTGAGATAGAAATCGCATGTTAGAAAGTCATACTTTACAGAGCTTTAACAGTCTGTCCCATATTTGCAAATGTTTATATCTAGTTTTTCATGTTTGTAGCAAAGAATTTCACATCTGGGAAATCAGCTTATAAAGGCCAGGCTCCGTAAATTACAAATGCAAACTCCAAGTCTTACCGAAAGAAATAAAATAACTTGCAATCACAGGGCAACTTATCAGTAGAGCAAATTGTTGAATCCAGGTCTCCAGAATCCCATGTGATTGCTCCCTCACGCAGACTTTAGAATCTGGAAAAATAC